TCTCTAATGAGTTATATAACTTTTGAAACTTTTCTTTGATGAAAATAACCTGATTTAAGGCCTCTACTAGTACAACACCCGTGTATTACACGGGTGCTTGTTAAAAAATTATTCTTAAATTTTAAAATTAATGAGAAAACTATATTAAATGTAGTTTACTTTTTTACAAAAAAATATATTACTAAATATTTTAGAATGATATGTGTTACTCATGACTTACATGTGTTATATTATATTAGTTTTTATAACTTATATCATATAACTACTTGAAATATAAATATATTAGTTGATATATAAAATTATTTTTTCTAATTAATATTAAAAATAATTTTATTATTGTTATAAATATAAATATAAGTTACTTTTTTATATATATACAATATGGATGTTAAATCGAAGCTCATCAAAAGAAGAATAATTTGATATATTACATATGTAAAACTGATAAAAATACAAAAGTTAACTTTTAAAATATGTATACAATTCAATAGTTATAATAAGGAATGATACTAAAATACAATTAATACATGTAATATGACCATAAATAATTAACATATTTATGGTCATTCGAACCTAATTATTTTTTGTTTGGAATTAAATTAAAATTTACCCAAGCCCAATAAAGAAGCATGTAATTTCGCCACATAGGATTCTGAAGCACCAGAAGCAGCCACGTAGGCTCAGCGCAGTCTGAATTAATATATAGGGGGATTTATAGCCACAAAAGAGGGGACAAGATGATTGAGTGAAGAAATAAACAAAATAAACAAACAAAACTTGTAAAAATAAATAAAGATATTAAATGGTAATCTTAACTTATAAACTTAACCAATCTATAGTCAATGCTTAAAAAGGCCCCATAATGTGATCTCAATCTGATTGACATTAAAAAAAATTCGTGAAATATGGAATAATCTAGAATTTACGGAACTGAATTCGGACTTAAAACGTACAGTTACCGTAAAATCAAAAATTCTAATAATTTCAGATTTCCTTCTTTTACTTTTGGTATTTTTTTTCTTTTAATGCTAAAAAAAACTTTTCTTATCTTGTAGTCTACTAAAAATATTATTAATAAAAGTAAATATTTCAAATCTCAGAACTAAAATAATTACTTTTATTAATAACTGAGTGGGATATTACAATCTATCCCCCTTAAATCTATTTCCGCCCTCGGAAATACTAAAACTGAAATAAAGAAACTGAAAAACATACTTACCAGAAATATCAAAACTCGAAATCTGGAAATCGAGCTCTAATATCTGCTTCTCGTTCCCAAGTGGCATCTGATTCTCCATGTCGATTCCACTTGATACGAACAAGTGGAACATCTCGCTTCCGGAGTCTATGAACCTTTCGGTCCAAAACTGCTACCGGCTTCTCCTCATAAGTCAAATCTGGTTGAATTTGTATCTCATTGTGCTGCAACACATGATCTGGATCGCACACATATGGACGCAGCAAAAAAACATTATGCACGCTTGCCAACTCAGGAGGTAAAGCTAATCGATAAGATACTTCTGCAACCCGTTCAAGAACTTCGAACGGACCTATATAGCGAGGATGCAACTTACCTTTCTTCCCAAAACGAATAACCCCCTCTCATAGGTCGAACTTTCAAGAAGACTTTATCTCCCACCTCAAATTGCATT